AAAATATTGCTGGTGTCAAGGAGAGTGTGAGAGACGATCCGAAACAATCAACAACGCGTCGATCCCAAGAATTGGGCATTTCGAGAACCAGTTTGCTCCGCATTCTCCACAAGGATTTGAATGTACACGCCTACAAGATCCAATTGACGCAAGAGCTGCGTCGGGCCGACCATTTTTCGCGCCGAACGTTCTCAGATTGGCTCCTTGAACACCGCCAAATTGATGCCAATTTTTGATCAAAAATCATGTTCATCGACGAAGCGCATTTCACTTTGAATGGGACGGTAAACAAGCAAAACTGCCGCATCTGGGCGAACGAAAATCCCCGTGAGTATCAAGAGCAGCCGATGCATCCTCAAAAAGTGACTGTGCGGTGTGCATTGTGGTCAAAAGGCATCATCGGACCTTACTTTTTCGAAAATGCGGCCGGGGACGCCGTTACCGTCAATTCTGAGCGATATCACGTGATGATAGAGGACTATTTTTGCCGCAACTTGAAGGAATGGATATGGACGATGTTTATTTCCAACAAGACGGTGCAACATGCCACACAACCAACGTCAATATCCATCGATTGCAGTCCTTCTTCGGTGATAGCGTGATTTCGCGCAGAGGAAATGTGTCATGGCCACCAAGATCGTGCGATTTGACTCCCTTGGACTTCTTTTTATGGGGATATTTGAAAAGCAAAGTCTACGTCAACAAACCAGCCACCCTCCAAGAACTCAGAAACAACATCATTGCCGAGATAAATGCCATAGAACCGACCATGTTGCAAAATGTCATTGAAAATTTCGACCATCGCGTGGACGTCTGTAAATCCAGTCACGGTGAACATTTGAGCGATATTATTTTTCATACATAAATGGTATAAATGAACCTTCAAAATAAAGTACCCAACTTGATTTGAATATCAATCTTTCTTGTTTTAATATGCGTTAACTTTCCTGCGTCCGTTTTGGACAACCCCATATTTTCTGCACGTCTAATAAGATAGGGTCTTACCAATTGATCAGTAAGAAATTTAGTAAATCACACTGGCTATACAAAACTTTTAATAGATATAGTAACATAGACACCGTAGACCGGTCACTGTGACGGCTCTGTAACTTTTGTCGTATTTCTATTGTAAACCGATAAAAGTGTCACCTTCAACTTTTAGCGACAAACTGACCACGTGGTCACTTGGAGGTAGCGAGGATATTTCCTGATTATATTGAAGTAGGGGTAAGATATATAGAAATTAAGGTTAAGGGTTAAATCTAGTTCCTATGCTTAACAAAGTATCCTGTGTAGCCATATACCACAAGAATATTAAAATATGGCCATATAAACTCACTGGATGATGTCCACCTGCATAAGGTTTTGCTAATATCTTTTTTTCATCGCTTTTTCCTACCATTTCTACTAAATCAATAAATGTTTTCTTTGACATGCGGAAAAGTTTAGAGGATTGAAAGTTATCATAGCTATAAAGCATTGGTTCCATCATTAACTTTTCTTATGAAAAAAAACATTTCTTCCATTAATATTATGAAAGGTTTCTTTTTTAAACTTTCCATACACCGTTGTAGACGAAAATGCACCGCTTATTAAGCGATAATGAAATTAATCAGAAATTATATACGCGCTTTTATAAAATAAACAACTTGCAACAAAACCGCGGTTAAGACAAACGCGTTGAAGCGATTCGAGTAATTGACGTCATTAACCCGTGTGTCATCTTGAACCATATTACACCTATAACCGCGGTACATAACATAGAAATTTTGGTTATTCGCTTTGATTTTATTTGCATCCTAACCGCTGTCAAGCTGATGTCATTGTCATCCCATTTGTAAGAGTTGAAATCTCGATTCTCCGTCTGCTGTTTTCAATCTTAACTTTATAATAACAGAATCCCTCAGTTCTTAACTTTTTTACAGAGTAAGTTTGCAAAATCGATCCAGATATTTTTTATTCTATCGCGTTTGTTTCCCCAGTGATGTACTTATGCATAACCACAATGGTTTTAACAACGTTCAATATTCGAGGCAAAATAGGTTTTATAACTTCTATATAAATTAAAAATGAAAGTAAAAATATATCTAAATAGTTTTGATAGTATTCTGTTCTGAAATACCGTATAATTCCCCCAATATAGTACAGTGAAACTAGATATAATTGTGCAATATAATGGGTTTTCCAATAATAAGCTGTCACAATGATGTGTTTCGTTACAAGCAATGGCGCTCGCAAGGATTTTTGTTCAGCGGGCGCCGATTACCGACAATATACAAATTTTTGTAAAAGTGTGTCTGCGCCGAAACTCATTAACAGCATGCCTAAATTTTTTTGAACAGCGGTGTTAGCAATTTTTTACGTGGGACAAATCCTAAAAATCTACAAAATACTGCACAAAATCTTGCTAAATATGCAAACTTTCAGGTCCAATCGAATTACACTGATCAACAGCCAAAAAATATCCTAAATAAAATCAACAAAATATTACTATTTTTAATGTGCTAAAACCGGAATGAAACTTATTTTTTCAATATTAGTTCGTTTTAGAGATACGGTAATTATATGTGTTCCTGCTGTGACAGTGTTAATATACTGTAATTCACAAGAATGCACGTGCTACATTTTTATATTCGGCAAGGAAAGATGATGTAATCGGCATGATTGTGTTACGTTATACATACGTGTACATTATATTGTTTTATATTAACCATTTTTTCCTCAGTTGGCTGACAGCGTTCATGCAAGATGTCTCGAAAGTGTGTAAACAATCCAGATCAGTTTTGTTACATGTGTGGTGATGTGACATTTGCGTCTCAGAGACGGTCTATTACTCCACAAATAACAAAAGCATATCAGCTTTAATTCGGTTGTAAACTAGGTGATCAAGACAAACAGTGGGCACCCCACATCTGCTGTAATACATGTGCTTCAAGTCTGAGGAGCTGGTTAAATGGCAAAAAACGGTCTATGAGCTTTGCTGTCCCAATGGTTTGGAGAGAGCCTACAAATCATATTAATGATTGTTACTTTTGCATGGTACCTTGTGTTGGATAAGCCACAGGTATGTCCAAGAAAAAAAAAAGGTTATTAACTACCCAAACATACCATCTGCGATGAGACCTGTGCCTCACAGTGACGAAAATCCTATTCCAAAACCCCCAGAATCCTACACTTGCGAATCAGAAAACGAATCAGATCATGGCGATCGAGTGATTCGTCAGGAAGAAGATATGCCATCAACGTCAAGAGATCCTGATTTTATACCGGGCACGTCATGCCACCAACCGCACAAAATAACACAGTCAGAATTAAATGATCTTGTAAGAGATTTAGAATTTCCAAAATGTAAGGCAGAGTTACTTGGATCAAGACTGCAGCAGTGGAACTTGTTAGAAGACGATGTTTCGGTATGTGTTTTTCGTAAACGCCACAAAGACTTAGAACCATTTTTCAATATGGAGAATAACTTGGTTTTCTGCAGTAACATTAACGGCTTACTGGCGGCTTTAAATATAAACTATAACCCAGAAGAATGGAGATTGTTTATAGACAGTTCAACATTGAGTTTAAAGGCAGTGTTACTGCATATTGGAAATATTTTACCATCTCTTCCTGTAGGGTATGCAGTTCACATGAAAGAATCATATGACAATATGAAGTACCTATTGACATGTATAAAATACGATGAGCACCAATGGCATATTTGTGGCGATTTGAAAGTTGTTGCACTTTTACTTGGGCTGCAGCTAGGCTACACAAAGTTTTGCTGTTTTTTGTGTGAATGCGACAGTCGGGCAAAGGCACTTCATTACACCAGACAAAACTGGCCTGTTCGTCAATTCCTAGAGCCAGGTCAAAAAAATGTACAGCATATGCCATTAGTAGATTCGAAAAAAATTTTATTACCACCACTGCATATCAAGTTGGGCCTAATGAAAAACTTTGTCAAGGCATTAGATAGAGATGGGTCAGCTTTTCAATACCTGCGTCAGAAATTTCCAAGACTAAGTGAGGCAAAGGTTAAAGAAGGTATTTTTGTTGGGCCACAGATTCGAAATATTTTGAAAGATACACAGTTTGAAAACGCTTTAACAGGTATTGAAAAAACTGCTTGGAATGATTTCCGTCTGGTGGTCACTAATTTCTTGGGAAATAGAAAAGCTGACAACTAGGTATAAAACCCTTGTCAAAAATATGCTGTCATCGTATCAAAAGATGAGCTGTAATATGTCTCTTAAGATACATTGCCTACACTCACACCTGGACTTTTTTCCTGACAATTGCGGAGCCGTAAGTGATGAGCACGGTGAACGTTTTCATCAGGATATTTCAACAATGGAAAAAAGGTACCAGGGAAAGTGGAATCCTTCCATGCTTGCAGACTATTGTTGAACTCTTGGTAGAGATGCTCCAGAAACGATCCATAAAAGAACAGCAAAAAGACAGCGCATATAGTGATTCTTATAAGTATATGAATCTTGTTACTTTTTTTAATATATCCTTAAAAATAAAAAGTTTTTTTCTAAACCGCAACTAATTTTTTTATTTCAGTGTCATTTTTGGATTCAGCGACCCAAAATTAACAAAGAAGTGCACTTTTCCCACAAGATACAATTAAAAAACTAAAATTTGTTGTCCAGTGTTATTAGAAAAGATCACTAGTCAACCTCCCACGTAGGTGAGATTTCGTATTTTGAAAATTTCTCAACCACCTGATAAGATCCTCATGCATTGATTAACGTATTCCGCCTGAAGATACCCGTAAAAATAGGCATTAGAGTAAATTTTTGTGTTCTACTACTGCCTGTCAGATGGCACCAGTATCAACCAGATTCCTTTTTGGAAGTCGTAATACAGTATATTTTCAGTGGGATTCCACAGCTACTGCTATTCAGCACAAAAACGCTACACGGCTGGACCGCCTTACATTGGCTGAACAGTTCCAGTGTTCCACCACAGCGACACACCAGCATTGACTGGACTATAAAACCAGTCACCGACTTACGTCGCTCAAACTCGCTCAATGAACCTCCGCCGTCCCTTCAGTCGCGAATGACGTCTTTCCGTCTACGTACGTCGTAGCTAGCTCTATATTTCCCGGGGTAGTACAAATCCTGCCTCCGGTATTGATTCCAATGTTTGGAAATAGTAGAATTTTATTAAATCCTCCAGTCTGAGGCAAATTCGAGTGTTCCTATCAACCACCGCGTTTGTTGATTCGCTGATTGGTGTTGCCACGCACCGCACAGCCTGCTGGATGTTAGGGCACAAACATGAGTAATAAGGGACGATGGGCAAATCGATGACTAGGATTTAATCGCTCAGACGTGCGATTAGGTTCGGTAAAGGTGAGATGGACTTTGGTACTTTTGCATTTGGGATAGAAGGACGTCTAGAAGGATAGGGTGAGCTGATTCTTTGGTAACGCTTTAGTTCAGATGAGAGTAAAATCATTAATTGTTTCAGTATTGTGACTTTTTTAAATATATTTGAAAATGCGGATTAATATTTTTAAGCGTTTACATGATCTTTAAAGCTAAACATTTTTGATTTTTTGGTATTTTCAGTATCTTTGCTTTTTGACCTTTGAGTTAATGTGAAACAAACATTCAATATATTAGTTTAGATAAGAGTAAAATTGTGTATGGTTTCTGTATCTTGCCTTTTCATGTTACAAGAAAATGTTGATTATTGCTAATTATGTTTGATTTCTTGATATTTTAGGGCATATTTCTAGGTATTTAATAATTTTTGACGTTCTCGCTATACATTTCTCTATAGACAATATTTTAGCTTTTCGGGCCTTTCAGAAAAAAGTGAAACAAAGTACTAATTTTAAAACCTTCTACTTTCCTTATTCATTATTAATAATTAAGGGAGCGATTTTTGCGTCTGTTTTAAAGAGAACACTTCATATCAATGTATGTGCTAAACGTCTTAGATTTTGGAACAAAGGACAGTAAAGTGCGAAGATATTTCAATGAAACTTAGAATACATGTACTATGTATACTAAGTGACATATAAATCCGAACACCCAGTTTAAATGGTTTTATTTTAATAAAATTTTGTATAAGTACTTAATGAAGCATAATAAGTAAATGATAAAAATTTCAAAATGATTGCACTGCTTTAAAGCCCTTTGACCTTTAATAATGTGTGGATGCACCCTGATGTGCTACGCATTCTCCAACGCGCCTAGGTATGCTTCTGATCAGGTGGTCAATGTCCTCCTGTGGTATCTCATTCCAGGCAACCACCAACTCCTCTCGAAGTGCTTCTGGAGTCTGATGAGGACGTTGCAAATTGAGCAATCTCCTACCCATCATATCCCACACGTGCTCAATTGGGGATAAGTCGGGAGATCTTGGTGGCCATGGTAACAATGTGACATCATTATGTTGAAAGAAGTCTATTGTGACTCTTGCAACATGTCGGGCATTATCTTGTTGGAAAGTTGGATCTGCCAGGGTGTCAAGATAGGGTAAAAGATGGGGTTCTAGAACGTCGTGGATATAACGCTGCGCGTTCATGTTACCTCTGATGAAGATTAAAGGTGACCTGCAACCATAAGCTATAGCACCCCTAACCATAACTCCAACAGTGTGATGAACCTGTCTTTCAACAAAAAACTGTGGATTCCTCCTTTCACCACGTCGCCTTCTAACCCTGGCACGACCATCGTGCATGCCTAAACAAAATCGAGACTCGTCACTAAAGACAATACTGTTCTATTCCTGATCCCAGAGTGACCGTTGTCTGCACCACTCAAGGCGATTACGTCGGTGTTCTCGAGTTAAAGGGAGTACCCAGTGTGGCCGGTATGAAAACAAGCCAAAACTTCTCATTCGTCGGTAAACACTTCGCATGCCAATAGGTCTTCCTTGTTCTGCAAACTATTCATTTGCAATGGACCTGGTAGTGGAGAAACGGTCCCTTAAGGTCAATAATCTTAGGCGGCGATCTTCACGGTCTGTTGTTCTACGGCGGCGTCCAGTGCCCCTTGCTCTTTGCGTACGGCCTTCTCGAAGCGATGCCTGACAACACCTAACCACAGTGTCTACGCTTCTTTGCACTCTAACTGCAATTGCCCGAAAAGAAAGTCCAGCTTCCCGAAGTCCCACTATACGGCCCCTATCAAACTCACTAAGTTGACGAAATAGTAGTGTCTCCGTACTCTAGGCATCGTAACCGATCGTAAATGATGTCAAGAACCAAAATCCGCCAACGTTGATTCTTTACTGCGGCTGAAATATTCATTTTTAGAGCGTTAGTGAATTAAAAAAAGCAGTATAAAAACCGGAATGTCCAACTGATAAGGCTCAAAATTTTTTCACTTGTTATTTACAGTAAGATAAATACATTCCCCAACTTTTATTAAAATAAAACCATTTAAACTGGGTGTTCGGATTTATATGTCACTTAGTATATTTCAATGAAACTTAGAATACACATGTACTATGTATTAAGAGGAATTTTTAGGAACGTTATTACATTTCCGCCATTGTTCATTCAAGATAACGGAATTTCACCTTCCAATTTTAGCAAACATTGGTGGCTCGCCACTGATTTCTCCTAAAAGAAAAATTATGCTTTAAATTCCCATTACTTTCTAAGAAAATTTGATCGCTAGATTTTTTCTATCCGATACACGGTTTTCACTTAAAAAAATAAAAACCGTTTATTTTCATGACTACAATATCGTTAATATAATATCGTTATACAGAGAAATATATTTAATTTTTTTAAGTGAAAACGGTGCGTCAGCCCAAAAAAATTCAAGAAATCAATTCTGCTCATAATAACGCCGTCAAAAAAAAAAATTAATACATATTTAAATTTTTTTTTTGTTTCAAGAAAAGTCAGTTGCGTGCCAAATAATAATTTATTTTTAAAAACTTTACCACACTGTACATCAAAAGTTAAGTCGTTTAGGACATACATTCATATCCACTTTTCTCCTTAAAATGGATCCAAAAATCGCCCCTTAAATAATGACACTCAATTAGGAATCGCGAAAAAAGTCCTGTTTTCACTACCGTTGAACTACAGGGTGTTTTAGTTTATTGTTGCATAACTTTAAGATTCGATAGAACTTTTAGAATTAATGCATAAAGTCTATATAAACATGGGTCGAAAAATGCGTGGCTTCCGTAATACAGGGTGTTTAAATTTACTTTCTAAATAGTTTTTTTGAAATATTTCGAACAATATTTGATGTATACCAGTGAAAATTGGAATACAAGGGTGTTTTGGTACGACAAAACGAACCATGGGCATAGTTTCAATGTAGCCGCTAGAGGGCGCTCTCTACTGTACCTGTAGTGTATTAAAATGACCGAAAATTTTTTCTTAGTGCATTTTTTTGCTTTTTGAATAAAAAAACTGATTCTTCGCACTTTTCAACATAAAAAAGCTCTCCTGTGAGTTTTCGTTATAGTTAGCCGTTTTTGAGATATTTCGATTTTTAAGGTTCGATGCATTTTTAATTATGTATGATAAAATAACGTTAAAAAGTCAGTATCTCGAAAACTGTTAGAAGTAGGCTGTGCCTGCAAATATTTTTGAAATTGAAAGCAGAATAAGGTTAAACGTCAATTAGTTGACAGTTAGTTTTGTTGTCTGTTGAAACCTGAAACGTTTTTTTGAAATTGTGAATGCACGAAATTTAGTTTCTTTTACCTGTTTTTTTTGTAAGTTTTATAAAAATGCCATTTTTATTCTCGAATCAAGAGTTAGCGGATATTTATTTTGTGTATGGCTTTGTAAATGGAAACGCAGCAGAAGCAGCCAGAGAATACGCACGAAGATTTCCAAACAGACGACATCCAACTCGCTCAGTATTTGTAAGAGTTCATCGCCAAATAATTGAAAATGGTTTTGGAAATCTCCAAAGGGATCAAAACACAAATGTTCGTCAGCCCAGATTTACCCGTATGACTCTGCGTGAGTTTTATAGAGATCCGACCACAAGTGTTAGGAGAGTTTCTGGTGCCTTGGGAATTTCAGCAAGCCATGTTCGCCGTGTTCTTAAAAATGACCATAGACGTCCTTACCATTTGCAACCTGTGCAACGACTACAGCCAGGGGACGGAGAACGAAGAATGACATTTTGTCAGTGGATTCTTGATAGAACTGATAATAATAGGGAGTTTTTAAGTAACGTTTTATGGACCGATGAGTCATTCTTCACTAGACGTGGAGTGGTAAATTTTCATAATCAACATATGTGGTCGCATGAAAATCCGCATGCAGTTCGGGAAAGAAATTTTCAGCATGAATTTAGTGTGAACGTGTGGATTGGTATCTACCGTAATCGACTATTTGGACCCTACCTTTTGCCTGCAAGGTTAAATGCTACGACCTTCTTGGAATTTTTAAAGGCTGAACATGCAAATATGTGGGATGATGTTATGTTAGATTTAAGAAGATTGGCCTGGTTCCAGCTTGATGGTTGTCTAGCTCATTATTCGAGAATAGTTAGAAACTGGCTGGACGAAAATTATCCAGAATGATGGATCGGCCGTGGAGGACCAGTCGCCTGGCCTCCACGATCCCCTGACCTAAATCCATTAGATGTCTTTGTGTGGGGATTTCTAAAAGAAAAAGTGTACCAGACTCCCGTAACCACAAGAGATATGCTAATAGACAGAATCAGGAATGCATGTGATGAAATAAGGCCTTATTTGAATAATGCTATACCACGTTCGATCATTCGTAGATGTGAATTATGTATTGAAAATTGGGTTTACATTTCGAGCAACTACTTTAGATTTTGTATGTTTGTCCTAACTATCCAATAGCATTTTAGTTGTAAATAATTAATTTAATTTGTTAAAAATAATATTGGAAAATTAAACAAATTAATATTCTGTTTTTTGTGTTTATTTGGAGTTAGGAATTATTGCTGTGTTTAAAAACACAATCTAAACGATCATCTTAATTACTTGCAATGCCCAAATCGAAAATGTAAAAAAAAATATTATTTTCCCATAAATTATTAAAAATGCATCGAACCTTAAAAATCGAAATATCTCAAAAACGGCTAACTATAACGGAAACTCACAGGAGAGCTTTTTTATGTTGAAAAGTGCGAAGAATCAGTCTTTTTATTCAAAAAGCAAAAAATTGCACTAAGAAAATTTTTTCGGTCATTTTAATACACTACAGGTACAGTATAGAGCGCCCTCTAGCGGTTACATTAAAACTATGCCCATGGTTCGTTTTGTCGTACCAAAAAACCCTTGTATTCCAATTTTCACTGGTATACATCAAATATTGTTCGAAATATTTAAAAAAAACTATTTTAGAAAGTAAATTTAAACACCCTGTATTTCAGAAGCCACGCATTTTTCGATCCATGTTTATATAGACTTTATGCATTAATTCTAAAAGTTCTATCGAATCTTAAAGTTATGCAACAATAAACTGAAACACCCTGTATAAAAACTGCTCTTAACGTCTTTCGTGAAACTCCATGGTGTTATGGTATACTATAGATTAAAATGAAATGTTTTTTTTCCGCAAGGCGGCTCTACCTGCATCTCTAGTTCGATTATTTAAAATCCAAGTATTTCTGAAAACATATGAATCTAGATATAGATATAGGTCAGTCAAATTATATCGTTAATGTTTGTCAAAATTCTATATAATAACATAACAGTCATGGTTCATAGGATATTCAACGACCTACATTAGTCTGGTATTTCGTACTTCAAATTATGGTAGATGTTTCGTCAAAATCTGAACTAAATATTAAAAAATCGCCTGAAACATTGTTTGAGCCTCTCGGTTCTTAAAACGAAGGTTTGGGCTTTTCAAACGGAAGATTTGGATTCCCTTTCCACAGCTCTGTACAGCATGGATGACTTATTGCTAAAATGGGCGATGGAGGGTATGGAAAAGAACTAGGACTGGATGCTATCAGAGCCCTACACCAAACCGTGATCGCTCTGAGAACAGCATTGGAAGAAAGCAAGAGCGAAATTTTGGAACTGAAGAGCAAATCTTGGCCAATAGAAACGGTCCAAGACGCGTTAAAGGCTCTAACGATAGAAAATGCTGCTTTGAAGAGAAAGATTGTTCAGGGTGATTTTAAGGGAAAAGACGGAGCTGTAAAAGATAAAGATGGAATTGATTGTGTTGAAGATGTGGACACAGTTGTTAATGGTATGGATTCTATAAATATATAATTGAAAACATAGTTGTTATTTTTCAGTGAAGAATGTCCAGATTTGCATGTTATGTCGTATCGTACAGGGTGGCCGAAATGTAACTGACTGGTTTGTATCTTGCATATTAGTGAAATGAAATAACATACCTCCATTTTTTTTTCATCTTAATCTTTTGATGAGACATAGAAATTATGTATGAAAAATAATATCAGACAAATGTCCGCGTCTAGAAGCCGCGCAAACCTGAGCCGTCTTGATTCAATTCAATTCAATTCAATTCTTTATTTGTGTTAAGTACACCAGCGTGTTTACACAAGTCAAAGGAAAAAAAATTTAATACAAAAAGCAGTCTGACAAAAGACTGATGTTCAAATTAAACAAAAAAACATCAACTTATGACATTATGATTCAATAAAAGCAGATACAGAAAGTCCATATAAGTTGTAAAAACAGGAGGACATACGTACATAGATACACGCATATTCATATAACCACAATACGTATGTTTACTTATACACACACACATATATACATATATACACATATACACATATATACGTTAAAATAACAACATATGAAATGTTGATATAAAATTTACCAGATGACTTAGTAGAAAGTTCAAGGAGCCTAGAGGATCCCAGGTGTAGGAACACTGTTATATTTGCTAACAATCCGACAAGTCTGAAAAATTATTGCTCAAATACTCGTTGATCGAGTAAAATGCTTTAGTAGTCAGATAACCATTAATTTTATTTTTAAAAACTTTCGCATCCAGTTTCTTTATACGGTCTGGCAACAGGTTATAAAAAACTATCCCATAATAGTTTGTGCCGTTCCTGATGGTTTGGAGACGGCTATGAGGTACTAAGATTTTATCCATATTTCTGGTTCTATAACTGTGGACATCACTGTGGGTAGTATATTGGCTCAGGTTAGTCTTTATGTACATCAGGCATGTGAAGATGTAAAGAGAAGGTACTGTCATGATTTTCAATTCTATAAAAGCTTCCTTGCAAGGTACCGTGTATTTGAGGCCAGCAATGTACCGCAAGCAACGTCATTGTAATCCAAAAACTTTTGACGAATGGGCCGAGTTGTTTGTTTATTGAAGGTAGGAATAATATGTTAGAAGAACTGACTGAGAGACATTTTGTTTCTAGTTCCTTATCAAATATATATATTTTGCTAGTGCATCGAGAACATGGATTACGTGAGTTTCCCACGACAAGTGTTCATCAAGGTAGACTCCTAGTAACTTCACGGACTTTAGTATATTAGTGTCGTCGTGCTGCCTCAAGCTAAGAATAATCATTTGAGACTTTGTTTCATTGATGGTCAACTTATTAGTAGCTAACCAGTTTGCTAGTTTTCTTTTATGAGCCTCACAGTCGAATATCAATGAGGCTAAACAGGCATTGCTATTCATCAAGGTAGCGTCATCAGCGAATAGGATTAAGTTATTATTCACATTATAGTTAGTCATATTATTGACGTAAATTAAAAATAAAATAGGTCCCAATACCGAGCCTTGCGGTACCCCATGAGCAGCGACTAACTATGAGGATGATGAACCTTTAAAGAATACAAATTGGCGTCGATTACTCAAGTAAGATTTAATCATTGCAGTGGATGCTTCATGAAAGTTATAAAAAGGGAGCTTTTCCAACAGGATGTCGTGTTGAACACAATCAAAAGCTTTGGATAAGTCCAACAAACATGCTGCGCGATATAGGTTGTTTTCAAAAGTCTCGTTCACAAACTGAATAAAACTGTTAATAGCTGATGTGGTGGAACTATTTTTCCTAAAACCAAACTGTGTTAAGCAAAATAAATTATAAGCCTCTAAGTATTCATTTATTTGATGTTTCAACAATAATTCCAAAATTTTCGCAAAAATAGGTATTAAGGAAATGGGCCTGTAGTTGCATAACTCTTCAGTATCCCCTTGTTTGAAAATGGGTATAATTTTAGATAGTTTGAAAAAATCCGGAAAAGTATTACTTTCTATACACTGATTGAATAACTTGGTTAGAGGATATATGATGAGATTTTGTAAGGTTTTGACAATCCTGACAGTAAAGCCATATGGGTCAGTGCTCTTTGAGTTTTTTAGTTTATTTATAGCAGTTCTCATCATGATATGTAACTTCCCTGAATCGAAAGTGTCAACTATGAGTAGGATGATTCATATAATGCGATTGAGAAACATCGGATGGGGTAATTTTATTTAAAAGTTTTTGTGGGATATGGGTAAAAAAGTCGTTGAATTGATGTGCTGTGAGAGATGTTGAGGAGTCCTGGTTGTGTGCGTTCGGTTTAACATTCTTTATGATATTCCAAGCAGCATGTTGTCTGTTGTTGGATTTATTGATGTAGTCATCATTGGCTTTAATCTTAGCTTTGACAATTTCTTGTCTGTAACTGTATTTAAATTGTTTCAAGCAGTCCGTACTAACTAAAGTAACATCGTCTTTATGAAGCTCTGTTAGGAAAGTCAAAGTCTCTCTCATATTTCTTATATGATCATTGAACCAATACACATTACATGAGCTTTTATTATCATTAACAAATCGCGATTTTATAGGAAGATGTTGATTGACCGAAATTCTGACAATAGATATGAATTTTTCAATTTTACATTCGATTGTCGTACTTTTTTCATTAACAAATTCGAAAGATGTTGATTCCATATCATTGTAAAGTTTGAAAAGGCCGCTGTTTGTTATAGGTCTATAATAGAGTTTCCTACGTACTTTCGGTACGTGTGATAAATTAAAAGTATAGTCAAGCGCTAAATGATCTGAATAATGAGTATCCAAAACATTAACGCTATTTTCTGAGTCTACGTAGTTTATGAAGATGTTGTCTAGACAACTTGAGTTTCTTGTATTTTGACTAACTATTGGCATGAAACCATAACAACTAAATAAGTTTACAAGCTCATGAGCTTGGTGTTGTAACCTATTAAATCTAACATTAAAATCTCCTATTATCACAATTTACTTGCGGTAATCGGGTCCATCCAATAACCGACAAAGTTTCATAATAAAGTATTCAAAATTACCATCAGGAGATCGATACAGTGAGATTAACTGAAGATCATTCACATTTAATCCGGCCGCCTCAAAGTGTAGTTCTTCTGACAGATTGAGAAGGTTATCTGATAGAGGTACGGCATTAACATGATTTGCTATATAAATAGCCACACCACCACGAATTTTCACATCCCTACAGAAACTAGATACAGATCTAAAACCAGAGATATGCTAATAGGATAACTCATCTTTTCTTAACCAGTGTTCATTTATAGAGAGCATTGTATATTTATTCTTTTCACACAGTGATTCGATGATTCCTGACTTTCAGCGAACACCTTGGATATTTAGATGTAATAGTCTAAAGAGCACGTTACTGTTTTTTACTGTTTTGACAGATCGTGGTTCAGGTATTGTATTATTCTGTTGTTTATCTTCCCTAATGGATGCTTTACTTAAGAAAAAACTGTTTTTCAGACTTGTCGGGGATGTTGATTTGTTCAGTTTTCAAAGGCAATACATTTTTTAATTGTTCAAAAATAATATCCTTTACATGCTGGATGATTGTCATTTTTGATGCCGTGACTCTGATGTCATAGAATAGGCTCAAAGAATAGTTTCTATTTAGTTTCCTGAGTCTATCCAATTAATTATATTTCTAAGATGATAGTCGACAGATGTGGTCAATTCGCATAAAAAAATAAGATTGGTTACTCGACCGAGAGGTAAGAGGCAATGTAAACCTTTGTTTAAGGATGGGGTGTTACTTATATTGTTAGAGTTTATCATGAAGATTACAAAATCGTTCTCACCAAGAGATTTTGTGATGTTAAATACGTTTTTTGTGATATCTACAAACTCTAAATGGGGATAAACGTGAGCTTTTATGGAGAACTTTGTCATGTCGATGTATAATTCTAACACTTTTCCCTAAACTTTTTGCATAATCGTCAGCAATTATAATGATTTTCCGACAGCTGTCTGAGGCGTTACGTTTCGGTGATCCACCTGATGGTACCATATCGATTATTGGGGCATCATCGAAATCTATTGGAGTTTGGCTTGCAGATTCTGCTGCTACTTCGCCGTCTAACTGGGGTATAGGGGACACGATAGATGCACACTGGGCAAAAGTCGACGCTGTGCAAAAGTCGACGCTGTTACATTTTACATCACTTTTTGGCAGGTTTCGGGAGGAATATTTTCAATCGCTTCGGCAATATTGTTCTTCAGCTGCTCTACAGTATGGTGGTTGGCATAAGCCCTATTTTTCAAAAATCCCCATAAAACAAGTCAGGAGCCGTTAGATCCGGTAACCTTGGTGGCCCAGTTGATATCTCCGAATCGAGAAATTAAACGTCCCGTCGCAAAAGATTCATTGCTTCCCTAGCTTTGTGACAAGTTGCTCCGTTCTGCTGGAACCATATCCTTGAGGTTAAATTTTTGGATTCGAGGAGCCAGAAAGTTTTGCAGCATATCACGCCCAACTAGCAAAGTAGTGGTATAAGCTTTTGGTAAAAGAACCGTTCAGCCATAAAAGCTCTCTATTAATGTTGCCTGAACACCAAAATGCTGGCTTAATGTTGTGTGGAATGCAAATTTGCTTTCTGCAACATATTTGCTCTAAAATGAGGTGTTTAAAATATTCTTGTAGCATAGTTATGCAACACCTTATAGGGCAAATTTTTAACTGTTGCATAAACGTTTATACAACTATTTTATACGGCATATTTGCAAGTTAGTCAAAATGGTTGTGTTGTGGCACCTATGCTAACGTTTATAAAACAAACCCGAGCAAACGGAAGCACTTATACAACTGTTACATATGCTAAATATGTTGGTAAACAACTTCACCATAACCTAACTTTCTGCTGTCATATTTTTGTTAAAATGTCATAACCAATGTTTTAAGACAAACAACGCATGCATACCGGTTCAAAAAGGTTTTATCAACTGTTCAAACAGAAGATATAGATCTGGTACAAATTCTGGGTAAATCATTCGACTCTGTCGGTATTTCATTTCAGACATTTGTCAAATTGTTGTATAACACCTGCAGGCAACACCAAAATATTCTAATAACCTAAAGACAACATGGACGATGCCATGATTGTACACAACCAACCGTCATATTGGGCAAACATTTATTCCTCTATTTGATATTAAAAAATTATGTTTCAGTTCGAAATTACAGATATATAGTGATAAACATTAGTGCAATTGTGTCTAAATATAGGATTTGTGGAAGATTTAACGCAGATAAGTTCAGTTTTCCATCTTAAAAATCTAGACATACTTTTGATCATTGTCAAAATATGAATCAAATACGAAGCCCGTAGAAATTGGGTAACTAATTTGCACGATAATCACAATAAAATTTGCTGCGCAAGTAATTCAATAGCTCTATATCAAATTGTAGAAGTTTATCATATACCTGTGCATGAAATTCACAATGGCCGATATGTAAGTAAACAAGATGACTGTAATGTGTTAGTTATATATTCTTCACTTCGTCTATACAATACATAGGAAATAGTTTGGTTGCAATAAAGTAGAATCACGTAAGAGAATAGTTGTATAGTTGACAAAGACTGAATCTTGCACTGACGCAAATGTCCTATAGCGGCTGCAAGAGGCTTACACTTTTGTTTTATAACTGTTACCTGCAGCCCTTATACAATCTCTTAAATGACTGAAGTGTCCTATTAGGTGTGCCCATTCCGCTTGTATAGCTGTTCTAAGAGAGGGTTTTGCTAATGTTCTTACAGTATGCTGTTTAAGGAATACTGTATAATCATTCTTGCAACTCTAATAGGAGTGATAATTGTTAGTTGGGCGGTAGTGCTCGCCAGTGACAGTAAGAGAATTACCTGCAACGTCTTCAAAGAAGTAAGGTTCCCTAATGCCCAGATACGAAAATTCTGCTTATTAACAAATCCGTTCATATTGTGACGAATCATACTGTCGGCGCCATCTGTTGGGCGAGTCTCCTACTCGCTAGAGCTTCATGGCCGATCTCGGCTTTCACGCGAATCACGACCGCACCAGCCACCTGGCGGCGGATCGCCATCTAGATCGACGCGAAGCAACCTCGACTATTCGGGAAGGCCGCTATGTGGCTCTCGATTCTTCTATACTCAACGATGCGGACTATATAACTCGGCGGCCGGGAGATGGAAGGGAGTACTGAATACGGTAGAGTAGCAGAGCGGAGTGAAGTATAGTAGAGTAAATGGTGACATAAGAATTAGTCAGACATAAATAGTGGCGCATATGAATGTTTTATCAAGTCAAATAAATTAGTGCATTTCTTTTTGTGGAATCCATTGTTTTAATCCACACCCAAAAGAACCCATAAAAACGCTACAATATCGAAGTGGGCTTCATCGCTCATTAGCAGATGTCGGTAAAAATCGTTATTTTGGGTATTAAGCTGCAGTATTGCATGACTATATTGTCGGCGACTTTCATGGTCACTAGGCTGTCGTTCTGGGGTCAACTGAATGCAAGTCCTTTTTTTAAAATAGTGCATAATGACGTGCGACGAATACCCAGTTCTTGAGAACCATGTCTGGTAGACGTCACAGGGCGATCCGCTACTCTTTCACGGACTCTCTCGATATTTACCTTCAACTTCACCGTTCACATTATTCCGACCGAAATCTTGTCGTAGCTTCCGAATCGTTGCAACAATCGACTCATTATTTGAGTAAAACGTTTTAACAATACGGACGCGTTGTGGGATCGTGTAGCGCTCCATGATGAATTGGACACATGTGCTTAAAACAACTACTACGGCGCCACCTACTGAAATGCGCGTATCAAGAATGGCGCGCAATTTAAATCAGTCAGTTATATATTGGCCACTCTGTATAAAGAAGCTAATTATTATTTTTTATGGTTATACTGGAAAGGTCGAATGATTTTTCTGATTCTATTGATTTAGAGCCGTTTTACACACAAGAGAATTACTCCGAAAATTATAGTCATAATTATGCCGAAAATTTTTGCTGTCGTATTACACGTAAAATAACTCTTATGAAAATTTTCATGGTAAAAATATAAAACCAGTTCTATAGAATATGCGCGAGAATCGGCGCAGAGGGATATTTCCGTGCATGTCATTATCAAATGTCAACATCAACAACATAACCTCACTTAACATTTCTTGGTATGGTCCTGTTCATGTCGTGCGAAGAAGCGTTCATTGTTATGGTTTATTCATAATGTCGTGGAATCGGGAAGAAGTTACACTGTTGTTGCAGTACCAAAAATGGCCAAACCTGTACAAGGTGAAGTCACCAAATTACAAAAACAGAAATCTGCGACGTCTGTTGTCTTTCCGATTCTATTGGACGTCATACCCGTTAAGGTTATGTCCATTCGAAAATATTACTCTAATGCGCAGGCGTATCATATGAATTACTCGGAAATTTTGTTTGCTTGTGTCATACAGGTTGTAGAGGAAATCTTCAATATTTTTTCCATGCAAATTTTCGGCATAATTATGACCATAATTTTCCGAGTAATTCTCTTGTGTGTAAAACGGCTCTTTTACAGTATATTTTTTGTAATGCCACTTCTAGGTGAACATGTAAATAGTGAGACAATAATTCAGAATGACAAAGATACAGGTGTAACCAGAACCAATACCTGTGAAAACGATAGAAAGCCTCCATTCTCCGAAGCTCAGAAACTCAAAAAAGTTCAAATCGTTTCGCCAAAACTAAATCCCAAAAAGACCACGAGGAACTTAGAAACAAAAATATCTGTTAAGGCTGAAACGTCGAATGCTATACAAACATCTAGATCTCTCGAGAGTCTTACAGTAATCAAGTCACCCCTGGAAGGATCTAAGCATTTCTCAATCTCAAAAACATTTAGTTTTTCGAATCTTTCTGCTAATATACACAGAGAGTTTAACTTTGATGTAAAAATGGGTGATAGAAGCCAAAACGCACAACCACAAGAAAACGCCATAGAAACGTCTATTGATGAGGAACCAGAGGAAGTAAGTAGAGTGAATTAGTAAACAGGGTATCCTAAAATATAATGTGTGCAGGGTGTCACAGAATATTGATTTGAATCTCTTGGTCAGATGTTTAATTCTCAGTTACGAGCATACGAATATAGAAAATCCATTTTGAAACATGGTTTTGGTAGGCTAGAAGTTTTTGAGTTTGAAGATCTATTAGTTTTCGTTAAAAATTTGCTTCATAATTACTCTGGTAATCAACTTTATCTGTTTAACTAAACGATTCAAATAACCAGTGTTGTTTAAAGATTTCAAAAATGTTTCAATGAATCGGGTGTTTTGTGAGTATTTCTATAAATGTGTAGCTGTTTTTGAAGTGCGATTCCAAACAAAATCGTTTTTTTATCACCCATCACTCTAATTTTGTCATTCTACATAGTGACAGCAAGACAGATGGTAACGCCACATTTATTAATTCGTGAACGTTCTTCAATTCGTCATTGTCCGTCAGAGCGGTCCGTGGGACCTTCGCTCTTTGTTAAAGTATCGTAGGTCAGTAGGTCTGTCAGGTCTGGTTGCCCAGATACCAGACGAAGTCAGGGAGAAAAAGGGAAGAAAGAAAGGAAGGAAGGGGGAAGCAGCTTCTGTGGTGATCAATATGGCGGGAGGTGTCTCGTTGAAGATCACATCGGTGTATGTCAGGTGTGGTGCCAGGCTACAAGAGGCGGACCTGGAGGTTCTTTTGGACTATTCGGGTCCGCTTATTGTGGCAGGGGACTTCAACTGCAAACATCGAGCATGGAATTCTAGGTTGAATTCCACTAGTGGGATTCGATTGTACAACCATGTGATGCGAAATGGGTACCTTATACATAGCACTGAAGAGCCGACACATCATCCATTCAACCATCTTCAGGCACCAGATGTCATCGATTTCGCGATATCTAAAAACTGTACATACAGTATCTCTTCTCGAATCTTGTATGATATCTCTAGTGACCATCTACCTGTTGTCTTGGATGTGGACAATGAGCAAACTTCTGAGGAGGCAGCTCCTCTAAGGAAACGCATTGATTGGGACCTATACAAGTTGCTCCTTAGAGAGTTTCCCAATATCCCGATTATAGATGATGAGTCTGGAATAGATGCCGCTCAAGCGGAGTGGACAAGTTTCATTCAAGCAGCTCTACAGCTTTCAGCTGTATTTCCTGTACAACGACACGGCAGACCTTTTTTGCCTGCGGACATTCTTCAGAAAATCTCTGACAAAAGAGCCGCTATTAAGCAGGCAAAAAGGTCTTGTCATCCTGTTGACATTCGTAGGGCTACAAATCTTGTCCATGAAGTGAGAAACGCACTGCGCGAACTCCGCAACGAGCAATGGAGCGACTTTCTGGCGGGAATGCTTGATTCAAGTATTCCTCTCTGGAGGGTCGCAAAGTCACTCAGAAACGGAAAGCGAGAACAACTCGCACACATCCACGGTCCTGAAGGCATAGCCTTCAGAACGGAGGATAAGGTCGAGGTTTTCGCTGATGCCATGGAAAAACAGTTCTCTCCCAACTATGATCTCGATAATGACCTCGACGAGGAACAGCACATCGTACGATCCGTCAGGAGATATTTTAGGGCCAACGGCGTCACCGGAGGCACTGAATCCTCTCCAGATGACTCTTCTTCAGAAGACTCGTCTGAGGCTCCACATAGCTCATTAGCGGAACCCTCCGAGTTTCCACATTGCACACCAGCGGGGTTACTAAATCATATTAAAGACCTCAAGGTGGGGAGGATCAAATCACCAACAAGGCGTTGAAGCTGCTCTCGCCGAAAGCCCGGACATACTTGGTGACAATAATCAATGCGACGCTCAAAATCCAGTACTTCCCTGCTGGGTGGAAGACTGCTGAGGTCATCATGATTCCAAAGAAGGTGGGTTCAATATTTCCTCAGGATTACCGTCTCATAAGTCTGCTGTCAGCTCCTTCTAAGCTTGCCGAAAAGGTGATTTATCGTCACCTTGACAATTTTTCGTCAAATCACCATGTGATTCCTGACGTCCAATTCGGTTTTCGGTCTGAGCATAGCACCGAGCTACAGGCAGTCAGGCTGGTGGAGCATGTAACCAGAGGGTTCACCCTTAGCATGAGTACTGGCATCTTGTTTTTGGATGTCTCAAAATCCTTTGACAAGGTGTGGCACGCGGGCCTCCTCTATAAACTAATCCAAAAGGGTTTTCCTTTTTAGCTTCTAAAATTACTGAAATCCTTTCTTGAAGGAAGGAAGTTTCGGATCAAAATTAACAATGTTTTGTCAACAACACGGCCAGTACGGACCGGTGTTCCTCAGGGTTCGGTCCTGGGACCAATTCTTTATTCGCTTTTCATCCATGATGTCCCTTCCCCCAGCAACTGTGAAGTCTACCTCTATGCTGACGACACTGCACTTGTCGCCCAGTCGTGTACTGGTGATCTGGTTCACGATGGGTTGCAGAATGCGGTGGACGAAGTTCTAGAGTGGGCGGAACGGTGGCTGATGAAAATTAATCATTCGAAAACGCAGGCTATTTATTGTACCAAAAAAACGTCGCGGCCCCCCAGCAGAGGTTTCTGTAGACGGAAATCGTGTACCATGGACAAATTCTGCCAAGTATCTCGGCGTCACCCTTGATAAAGGCATGACCTGGCAGAAACATACAGCATCCATAAAAACAAAATTTCAAATTGCGTTTCGGCGACTATATCCTTTGTTATGTAGATCCTCCAAATTGAGCTTGATAAACAAAGTTCGACTATATAAAATGATTATTAGACCAGCCATTACTTATGCATGTGCGGCTTGGTGTTTTCTTGCCAAGACACACATGCAAAGTGTTCAAGTACTGTAAAGCAGAACTTTGCGGACAATTTGCAAGGCTCCATGGTATGTCTCAAATGAGACACTACACAGAGATCTTGACATTCCTTACTTGAGGGATTATGTCAAGCTTCAGGCGCAGCGACGTTATAGTCAAGCGGAATCGCACAGCAACCCTCTGTTGCGTGACTCAGTGGACTACACAGTGGAGCACGTTCGTAAACATTCAAGGCCACGGCTCGCACTGTAATCAAAAGTTAGCGTGAATCTTTAGTAAACTCAAAATTACACTCTAACAAAACCGAATCAAAAATTTGTTTAGTTCACCTCAAAATTAATCCGTGTACCAAAAAGCCTAGGTGTTTCCTCTTAAACCAAGCATATCTGTTTTTCTTTGCTCTTCTCCTTTTTTCTTCTCTTCCCCTTTCTCTTTTTCCTTGACTTTGTCTGGTTTCTAGGCAACCAGGACTGACAGATTCGACTAACGTACATCAGACAGTGACTAATGGGCAAAGGTCCGCCCAGACAAATAAATGACGAATAGTTGGAAGGGGGAAGAGCAAAGAGGATGAAGTGCGTCGGTTAAAGGGATGCCTTGCTATTGTTAGCTGGTATTCGGTTAATTTAAATTAATCCAAAATTTGTGTGTGGCAAAAATCGCAATTTTGGTTGGATATAGAATTGCACGATTTGATTTTGATCACAGTGCGAGCTGCGCCGGTCTTGTGTGCTTGCGAACTTGCTCGACTGTGTAGTCTACTAACTCACGCAACAGAGGATTGATGTGCGATTCCGCTTAACTATAACGCGCCTGATGTTTGATGTAGTCCCTTAGGTAGGGGATGT